GGGGGCAGTTTTTACTTTTTTAAAATATTTTTTTTATTTTTATTGTTTTATTTATTTACAGTTGGCGTGCGGCTTCGGGGAAATATTAGGGGTCCAAACAGACCGCTGACATTTCCCTTTTAAAATAGAAAATAAATTGAGGACACCAAATCCTCAACTTCTATTTTCTACAGCCTCAGCACTCAATGAATGGGAGGCACTCAGTACAGAGGCTTCCCATTCATTCAGACACTGATAGTAAAATATTTACTATCAATAGTTTCTGAATGGGGAGGAGCCTCTGTACTGAGTGCTACTCCCCATTGAGGAAATCCAGAATGAACAGGCTGTAATGTAAATCACCGCCTAGCACTATGTGTCCCCAGTTATTTACAAACACTGGAGTGATCAGACGATTGCTCCAGTGTTTGTCCTTCTCACACGGAGGATCGGTAAATATCAATGATATTTACCGATCCCCGGCCTGCCTCACACAGAGCCGCTGTCATCCTGAAACTGATCTCCTCGCCGCTCGGCCATCCTGACAGCTGCGAGCGCGGCTTCTCTCCACCCCCCCGCGGGGTGCTTCTCTCCTCGCGGCTTCTCTCCCGCTCGGCCATCCTGACAGCAGGCAGCGCTCCCTCCTGCGACCCCGGACGGACGGACGAGGGAGCGCTGTCATCATGTCGGTGAGGAGGAGAGAAGCCGCCCCGAGGAGTGCCTGACTCAATGGCTTCATTTCCACTCGCCCCCACGCAATTTTCACTCGCAATTTGCGAGGGGGCGAGTGGAAATTTTAAGCCCTGGCCTATGGTATGGTCCCCACCTGGGCGTTTTACAGCGCGTAGGAACACGCTGCAAAACGCCCTACGCCCAAAGAAGTACAGGAGCTTCTTTGGGGCGTTTTGCCGCGCGTTTCCATTGGTATTCCCGAGTGTGGATCGGGGTTAACAAAGCGGTAACCCCGAGCCACACTCTGGAATACAGCGTACAGGTCTTACCTTGTCCGCGATCCCCGCTGTGTCCTTCGGCGACTTCCGAATTCCGTCCCTTGCGAGCGGCCACGTCGCAAGGGGGCGGAGCCGGCGGGAAGTTTAAAAGTGAAACTAAAAAAAAAAAATGTTTTTCAAAATAGAGAAAATAAAGGGGAAAAACCACAAAAAAATCATACCGCCAATAAAACACGCGTTTCACTGAACGGGAAAAACGCGCTAAAAAACGAGCTGAAAAAACCCGCTCAGGTGTGAACCCAGCCTGAATGTTTCAAATGATTCAGCGGCCTGCTACAAGCAGCTCCAAGAATGATGGCCAACTACAAGTGAATAAGCACCCTAAACGTGCAGCTGCAAGAAAGTTCATTGTTTAGTTATTCAGCAAATATTGTAACTGCCCTAAAAATGAAACACATAATTGATATGACTCAACTTACTCTGAGTAGTCAGCTATGTTGTCCTAGATTGTTCCCTTCTCCTCCCTTCTCCAAACTCTTTGCCCGACAGTAAATAGACCTATAAGTAATGGATTGCATCCTTTTTTGTGCTGAAGGACATGATGTTTACTGAACCCCTTCCTTTTCTCACAGTTCATTGTTAGCAACAAGGATTTTTAGGCAATTAGGTGGCCAAGTGCATTACAGCCATTGCTGTATGAAAAAAAAATAGCCCTGGCCAGCTGGACTGTGTTACCGTGTGTACACATTCAAATCCAAACTCCAGGTAAACCGCTAAAAATACATATATGGGAATTGTTTTGGGTTTTCTTTACAAAATATTTGTATTTCTATCTAGTCAGTCTTGAGATTTAGACAGCCCTGCCAGACATCAAAGCCTGGACCGGGTGACCAGACTTTTCTCTTTTCTGGTCACCTCCCTGTCCCCAACCTGTGATTGAAAAAGGAAGGAAAAGCAGCAGACAAATGAGCTAATCCCTCTCCTCACTCTGCTCTCTCCTTCTGTCAGCATGCTCCCTGTCAGACAATGTGTACACACAACTAATTGACAGTACTGTTATACTCTAGGTTTGAAGAGAGTTATGCCGTACCAATTAAATTTCAGGTACCTGCATTATTTGCATTGAAAAATGTGTTAATGATTTTTTTTTTTTACTGAATACATAACTGCATGAATTGTTGTTTTTTATACTTGTATGAAGCTTTGCCTATATTCTTAGTTTTGCCTAAAAGTACTGCCCACTGTAGTTCCATCAAGGGTTGGAGAACAAAGACTTATAACTAATAGTCTTTAGATAATCATCGCTGCCTGATTCTGTGCCGCCCAGCCTCGGCTCACTGGGCAAGTGCCCAGTATGCCCAGAGGCAAGTCTGGCCCTGTGTGCATAATTGGTTTGGGTTGGTGATTTCTGCTGCCCCCCTGGAATGTGCCGCCCTAGGCAAATGCCTAGTTTGCCTTGTGGTAGATACACCCCTGGATAAGAAGGTATACAGATGTAGGCCTTGTTCACACCAAGCGCGTTCCAGGAGCAGAGCAGTTACAGAACGGATCAAAACTGCGTCCAATGTATTCCTATGGTATTTTGGGCTTTAGTTCACACCGCAGCGTTCAGTTCCAGAGCATGTAAAAAAACTGCAGCAAGCCCTATTTTACCTGCTCTAGAAACGCATGCAAACGCATCAAAAACGCATGCAAACACCCTGGAACGCACTGAAAGCCCATTTTAAACTTTTTAAAAAACAATAATTTTTATTTTTTTGACCAAAAACGGTCATCAAAAACGCGGCACAACCCACTGCACTGCGTGTGCAGAAACTCATGCAGATCTGGTCTGCATTTGGTGTGAACAGGTCCTCAGTCGTCATTCATTGCCGCAACCAATAAGCTATCCATTGTAACATACATTGTAACAGAGTCACTCTAAAGCATTGTTAGAACCAGGAAAAATCAGACCTTCGACATTTACAGTCTGGCCAGTAGTGCATGCTGGGAGCAGTAGTTCTACATAGATGCAGGGGGTACAGCTGGTAATCATTCCGTTGGATGGTGTGTATAGAGGAGTTTACAGGGGAAAAGGAAGACACTTTGTAAAAAAAAAATTCAAGAGATAATAGATTTTTGAGGAAACATGGAAAAGTAACCCCCTTGGTGCAATACTTGAGAAGCATGGGCCAAGCTAAGAATGTTTCATTTGTAAAAGCATACTGAAAGGGAGATTAATAACCAGCTAACTTTCCCTGGAGATACAATAAAGATGGTAAACACTTGCAGTACGTTTCTCTAAAATGATCATATACTGTATCAGCATTCTGAATACAGCAAATAGAACTTGCAGATTTCAATCTGAGACTATTATGTATGAAATAATACAGAACCTCACAAACTACTGACATTCATTTTACACACAAGTATTACTGCATTCTAAGCATTGAAATACAGCGATCCACAAAACACAACGCCACTGAAATCACATCTTTAGTTTCCTACCTTTATCATCTAACCTACCACTTTGTCCAAGAGCTTAGACTTCACCTCTTCCGATTGCTGATCGATCGATCGATCTATCTATCTATCTATCTATCTATCTATCTATCTATCTATCTATCTATCTATCTATCTATCTAAAAACATAACAGAGTCCCTGAGCCAAACAATATCCTTGCAATTGACTTACCCTTGAAATAACCAGTGGCTGGTTAAAGTCAATGCCCCCAGTTAGCCTGAATCCCCAGGGTGCAGGTCCAGGCAAAACCACATTCTGTGGCATTTTCTTTTCTTAGGTATGGGAAGTTTAGTGGTGTACCTTATATCACAACTAAGGCAAAGTTAGTTACAGGTCCCTGAGAAGTTATCCTCCCTGCAAGTAGCAGCAGAGACAGCCTGCTCCCCTGATGCCTATGATCTTCTCTTTATCCCTTTCTTCAGGCTGACGTCACCTTCTGGCCAGAAGGCATACACAGAGGAGAATGAGAAGGGAGGGGAATAAGCAGAGGGGGGATGAACTGTTTGCCAGCACTCTAGTTACAATATCATGTTCAGCACAGGGTCTTTTCATACAATTACTGAGCATGAGTAATATGTGGAAAATGTAATCAGGCCTTAAAGTGACATTAAAGTCTAAAAACAATTTTCCCTCCCCCCAATGTTAATGAAAGCACTTACCTTACATGATGTCTCTTAATCTGATCTTCTTTCCTGTCCTTTTCATCTGTCCCTCCAGCGCTGCTGCGGGTCTCCGATCCAGCGCTGACTTCTCTGTCCTTGCTGGCACTTCCTGTCCCATGTTGTCTGCATGCGGGTGTGCGCGTCCATATACTTACCTTGTGTCTCTGCTCGTCTCCCGGCCGAAAATGTGAACTGCGCATGCTCCCGCCCCAAGATGCTTTGCGGCCGCCCGGGAATTTTCACATTTTCGGACGGGAGGTCCGACAGGTAAGTTTAAACCACTGTTGAAGCGGATTTTTTTCTACACTTTTTGCATATATCTACTGCTTGCCAGCAGTAATCAGGAAGGGGGTCTAAACACCTGGTCTTGAAGTGGTTAAAGGAGCGACTTTCCAGGTGATATGATGAAGATTTACTCTCCAGGCTAATCTTTAAACTGACTTTACATTACTTTCAGGATGTGAAAAACTGGTATTGTTTATTGTTGAAACTCTGTACCATCAGTCCAAGTGTATCGATTCCCCCAGTGGCGTAACAACCGGGGGGGCAGCCGGGGCGCCGGCCGAAAATGCCACTTTCGGCTAAATGCCGAAAGTGACATTTTCCTGCCGTTTTGTCAGCGCGGCCGTGATTCCTTTCATCCCCGCTGGGACACAGAGCAGTTTGGATGCTCCATTGGAGAACTTCCTTCCAATCTGGTAAAAAGGTTGTGCTCAGAGCAGGAAGTGAGGGGGAATCTCTCTAGCAGCAACACAGACAGAAGTAAAAAGCAAGAACTGACAGATGCTAGAACCTCCATCTGCTTTATATTACCTGTTTTCCCATTGCAGCTTTTCCCTCACTTCTGCTCGCGTCAGCGGGGGGGCGGGGGGGGGGGGGGGGGTCTCTGTCACCGAGACCTGGATAGCAGTAAAACCTGAGAGGAGTTCTAACCCTTCCCTATCCTACCCAAAACTAAAAAAAGGTCATTTTTTTTGCCCGTTAAGATGCTTTGGTATCCCGTTACAAATAAATGGCCTTCCCTAATGCAACACAAGTTAATGTGCAAATTACTGCACATGAATACGTGTGTAATCAGGTACTGCAAAAGACAGTAGGGGGAACTAAAAGTGTAAAGAGCTGGGAGCACAACTATTGCAGCAGAAGAAGTGAGACTGGGAGCAATGTCTGTAACCAGGGTAAAGATAATTTTACATTATCTAAAAAACTATTTTGTGATGAAGTAGATGTGACTCAAACTTTTTTATTTCCTTTTGTTTGTAGCGCAGTGCACCACAATGCACAGCATGAGTGTTATGGTGCAACACATCGCACACATTATTGTCCAGTTACGCAAGGTTAAATGGCATTTTATCATGTGTTACTGCAACACATAATATCTGAAGCTGGACTTAATTTTTATTTCCATCATTCGCGTTAAAAATCAGCAAGGGAAAATTAGCTGTAAACCCAGTTACTAAAATCTCATCTAAATGTTAACATGTGAATGTCATTTCTCAAATGATTTTTAATGCTTATAAATCTGCAACTTATTAAAAGAATACCCGGTGCTCCTTGCTGTTTCCCAGCTGTCCTCCTGCATTGGCTCCCTGTCCCTTATGCCACTGGTTAAGACCACAAGGGGCATGCTGACACATTTTATCCAGGCATGGTCCACTGTTGTTGCCAGTGGTAAAATGGTCGAGACCAATGGTTTGCAGCTATGCTGGAAAAGAGAGCTTGTAGACAGGAAGCTGATAAGGTCTGGAGAAGATTAGCAAAAAGAAAAAGGAAGAAGGTGAAAACTGCCTTTTCTTAATAAAACACACGCACAACAGTTTTTATGATACACAGTACTTTTATCAAAGTAAGGCAGCATTCACACTGCTAAGAGCTGGCCCGCACAGATCCATGCGGAGTGCACAGCTGTATCGGGCCTGTTCTTCTCTATGGGAGTACACGACCGTTCTCTCACCCGAACTGCACATTTGTGCAGGTGCGGGTGTCCGTGCTCGGACACAGACAGGGAGGGGGGCTTGGAAAAGCACCTAGTCCCTATGCCAATTGGGACAAGGGCCTCTTCCCCACAACCCTGACCCGGTGATTGTGGGGAGCTGTGGGAAGGGGGGTTCATCTGCATCTGGGTACCCCCTTTCATAAAGGCGGCACCCAGATGCCACCCTCCCCTCTTGTGAATGAGTAAGGGGTACTTGTACTTGTTTTTGACAATTCCTTTATTTAAAATAAATTAAAAAAATGAATAGCCAGCTTGCTATTGGCTATTGCACTTTGAAATAGCCAATAGCAGAATGGCTGCCTCCCACTGCCTTCTGTCGGTCCCAGAAGAGCAGACGTCGGAGATCATTTTTCTTTTTTACAGAAGGCAGTGGGCGGAGCAATAGCCAGCCTGCTATTGGGTATTTCAATTTTAAATAACCAATAGCAGGCTTTGTTTATTTCTGCCCACTGCCAGATATAAACATTGCGCTGCAGAGTTTTTTTTTATTATAATTTTTTCGGCCAACGCTGAAATGACTTTGTGGGACTTTTTTATTTATTTAAATAAAAGAATTGTCATAAATGTGTGTTTTGGTTCAATTAAAGGAATCACTTGTACTAAAACACCGGCTTCACCACTCTACATTTAGTCCTACTTGCCCGAAGCAGGGCTAAATGTAGAAAAAAAAAAAACTACTTGCCCGGTGGCTACTCCCTGCTGCCCCGAGGCCAGGCCTCGGTGGCTTTGTGGGAAATCCAGCCCTGCCTCTGTTCTAAGCCCAGCCCTGCCTGGGCTTGGAACATGTGGTTTTAATGATACTGGCTGTCAGACTGAGGACATGTAGGAGTTATATATATATAATTTTGTTTATTTTTATTTGCTCCAATATGCTTTGGTGTAGAAAGGAAAGATATGAGGTTAAAGCTTTCTAGAGATCCAATGCAAGTCTACAATGTCAAAACAACTGCTATTTGGGGACAATCAAAACATGGCAGACTCACTTTAAGATAGCATCACAATAGGCTACATATGGGGACACTGAGCAAAAAGTATAAGGATGGACCCTTAATACAGGGGTCTGGTTGAAGGGTACATCATGACGAAAAAAAAATCTGAAGCTCTGTGTAATGAATAGAAAATAATGACAGTGAATGCATATGTGAAAATTGTATATTTCAAGGCAAAACTTTGTTTCTTGTTTTTACATGGAGTAGGAAAAAGTTAAGGGTTCCAGAGCCTGGATGTGCTGGTATGAGTCCCCTAAGGAGGTAAATCTCAGGAGCGCTGACTGTGACACTTTCTGTCACAATCCTGGAGTGGGAGCGTATGATGTGACCATTTGTAATTGTGGTGCCATTGTATAGGTTACTGCCTATGTGCCCCTACTGAGCCTGTGCAGCCTCCTTCTGGTTGTTCATACTGCACATGTGCTCATAATATTAGATTACACATGTGGACCAGCTCACTTTCTTTTGCCATCTGCTCTGCTCGTCCAGCACCCTGATCTTCCAAGACTTGGACTCTTTCTGCCACCAGTGAAAAGTCAGATGACAATAACCTTTCCCGCTCTGGCAGTGTATCCTTGTGAGAATTCCTCACCTGTATTGATACCATGGTGGACTATTAGACTCAAGGAACATGGCCCTGTGGTCCGTGCCGGCCTACATTCAGTTCTTCACCCCCATGCTTTGCTCAGCAAGATTCTATCAAGGAAGGGTTCATAAAAAAGTGGACTGTGCCTGTTTTGAACTTGGCCATCTCCTGTCTTAACAAGACTTTACCTGCACCTGTAGAGGGCATTTACAGTGTATATAAAGATCCTTGTTTTAACTTGTAGGCCATTCCCTGCAGCCTGCCACTACAGCCATGTCCCTGTGTCAGACCTTGGCTGTCTGGTCCAATGACATGTCCTGGCATCTTTTGTCCTCCAACAACTAGAGCTCTTGCCTGTGCCTGCTCTGTTGTGTTGACAGGCTAGGAAAAACCTCCCTTTTCTTCCTAAGAAGAATTCCTTTCATTTCTCCCAGCCAAAGGCAAAGCCTGGAAAGCAGTTCTGCTGTAAAGTCTGGGCCCCCAAATCCTTCAACTTCTTCTGGTTTTGGGACGTTTCAGACATTTGGGTCCAAAACGTGGTATCCAGAGGCTACAGGCTGGAATTTTGGTCTTCCTTCACCCCACTTCATGTTGTCAAACTTGTCAATGTCTCTGTAAAGAAAGGTGGACCTCCACGCAGGAGGTGCACCAACACTACCTGCATTTTTCTGTGGGCTTGCAACATTATCAGATTATCACCCTAAACTTTGGTCTGGCTACTGCAGCTCAGATGTTGACCAAGATGTTAGCCCCTGTTCTTGCCTTGCTCTTAGGGCATCCCCGCTGTGGGATATCTGGACGATTTCCTAAGAACAGTTAGCACAGGCTTAGTCAGCCAATGTCCAATAGACTGTCCAAACCCTAAGTAGATTCAGGGGGATCCTAAATCTCCAGAACAGAAATGATCCTATTGCACTCCTTACCGGAATCACAATGCTTTAGCGGGTGCTGAAGTTGCAACGGATGGTGCAGCGCAGATCATCCTGTAGAAGGATAAGCCACCAGCCCACCAGGGTCCACTTTATCTTTCCATAATTTATTAAGGTCAGATAAACATGGTATCACATATAAATGCAACGTTTCCGAATCGTATATGGTTCCTTCATCAGGCCAAGGAAAGTGTGGCAACTAATGTAAGCAACTTATCCTTCTACACCTAAATATCCAGAATTCTCT